GTCGGGGCTGAGGGTGCAGGGCCAGGAGCTAAGTGAAAGGGGGAAGCCCAGTCACCCCAGCCGTGGGACAGGCTGCAGGAGACCAGGCGCCTCCAGCTCCAAGGCAACGCAGTGGGGGAAGCCCAGTGACATTGTGCAGGAGCAAGCTGGGGCTGCACCAGTCCAGGTGTAGCATGCACACACGGTCCAGGTGTAGCATGCATGCACGCACACACGCGCACACACACAAACACACATGCATATGCACACACACACACACCCTCGCACACGCACACACACACACACAAGCAGGGGCTGCGCCAGTCCAGGTGTAGCATGCATGCACGCACACACGCGCACACACACAAACACACATGCATATGCACACACACACACACACCCTCGCACACGCACACACACACACACAAGCAGGGGCTGCGCCAGTCCAGGTGTAGCATGCATGCACACACACACACACACACACACACACACACATGCATATGCACACACACATCCCCCTGCACACGCACGTGCACACACACACACAAGCAGGGGCTGCGCCAGTCCAGGTGTAGCATGCATGCACACACACACACACACACATGCATATGCACACACACACACACACACATGCATATGCACACACACACACACACACATGCATATGCACACACACACACACACACATGCATATGCACACACACACACACACACATGCATATGCACACACACACACACACACATGCATATGCACACACACACACACACACATGCATATGCACACACACACACACACACATGCATATGCACACACACACACACACACATGCATATGCACACACACACACACACACATGCATATGCACACACACACACACACCCGCCACAAGCAGGGGCTGCACCAGCTGGGTTGAATGAATTCACTGCTGCATTCTCATCTGTAGCACACCACAAGGGGATGCGTTCGGAGGATGGCTAGTTCTCCTTGGGCTCCAGCAAACGCCCGCTCCCGCCCACTCCTGAACAGGCGGCACACGCAGGGCAGTGTTACCCCACGGTGCCATGGCCTGGGAGCTGGGGCCCGTTGCTGGGTTACCCGTCCCGGCCCCGTTGCTGGGTTACCCGTCCCGGCCCCGTTGCTGGGTTACCCGTCCCGGCCCCGTTGCTGGGTTACCCGTCCCGGCCCCGTTGCTGGGTTACCCGTCCCGGCCCCGTTGCTGGGTTACCCGTCCCGGCCCCGTTGCTGGGTTACCCGTCCCGGCCCCGTTGCTGGGTTACCCGTCCCGGCCCCGTTGCTGGGTTACCCGTCCCGGCCCCGTTGCTGGGTTACCCGTCCCGGCCCCGTTGCTGGGTTACCCGTCCCGGCCCCGTTGCTGGGTTACCCGTCCCGGCCCCGTTGCTGGGTTACCCGTCCCGGCCCCGTTGCTGGGTTACCCGTCCCGGCCCCGTTGCTGGGTTACCCGTCCCGGCCCCGTTGCTGGGTTACCCGTCCCGGCCCCGTTGCTGGGTTACCCGTCCCGGCCCCGTTGCTGGGTTACCCGTCCCGGCCCCGTTGCTGGGT